TCTCCTTGAACGGTACTTTGGATGAAAAATTCTCATCGAAAGTCCCTAAATAGCCCTTCACGGCGCCGCGCTTCCTCGCCGCCACCATCTTCTTCTCATAAGGCATTCCGAAGATGGAGTCAACCTCTTCGTAGGCCTCTCGAATCAGAAGTGGGTCGACGCCATGGCTGGTCACTTGGAATAGCCCGTGCTTCATGCACGCGTCCCTCACCAGCTCGCAAGCCCTAGCCCTGGTTTCGTCGTCGCCGTTCATGAACTCAGCCAAGTCGATGAATGGCTCGTTCAGATACTCCTTCGTCTCCGTCGAGTCTCCTCCGTTCTCCATCGCCTTCACCGCTCCGTTCTCATGCTTTGCTGTCGCCATTGTTGCACACTCTAAGCTTTGTTCTGTAACTGCAGGTTTGGTTGTGTGGTTTCCACAGGCTAGTGAGTCCTTTATATACACTCATCGTCCTCCTTTCATGGAAAAAAACATTTATTGACATTAATTTGTTCTGTCCAATCTAATTAATCTCTGTATACAGTCATTAGTGCTAGGTGCAATGAAACAAAATTAGTTTCAGGATTATTTTTGGATGAACTGACCAGATTCAAAGTTATATTCATTAAAGAGGGTCGATTTCTTTAATGAAAATACCTATTTTCTTTTTTTTAATAGCTAAATACATTTATTTTCCAATTTCAGTGGATATATTAAGAAAATAAATTTCCCATATGTATGATGTCTTAACTCCCAAACAATAAATACATGAATGAATATGAGCAGAGAAAATCTGATTTAATTAATTAATAATAGCTTCCTGCCGATGTTTAATTTGTTACAAAATCTTCAATTCATGCATGTAATGATGTAATAGATAAAGACCAATGTATTTGCAAATGATACAATTCACAAATTTAATGCTGCTGGGAGTGTATTTTAGAGATACACGTGCGTTCCTAAATCCTAAGGATATGAGTCCAGTCGGTGCCTATATATGTAACTTGTTTTAATATCCTGCACCAAGTTGATGAGTCGACCAGGTCGTTGCGAGTTTAATTTGAACACGTCATACCGAGTGAGACCAAGTCTTCAGGGGATAAATCCACGGAGTCAGCATGTTTTCTTCCCTTGAAGTCGTTAATCTTGTTGGTAAATAAAAAAATGGTTAATCTTTAATAATAATAATAATAATAATAATAATAATAATAATAATAATAATAAGAAGAAGAAGAAGAAGAAGAAGACTTAATTAAGATTGGCCACAATGGTTCGATTTGTAACTAAATCTATAAATGTATCGTTTACTATGAGATCCCGTTGCTTGATAACTTAAATACCCTTCATTGTCTTTTCCTACCCTTTTTCACAAATCTCAAAATTGTAAGCTTAGCTTCATTTTAGTGGCATTTATTATACATGTGGAAGCCACCTTTTGATTAATCTGTTTGCCATATAATATTAATTTTTTTCTGGTATATAATATTTTAAAGAAATTTTTTTTAAAAAAGACACATAAATAACCTAAATTTTTTATTTGAGTTATCAAATTTATTAAATTCCTAATTAGGTTACATGACTCAAAAAAATTTAAAATTTCATGAACTGATTCTACTATTGTTTTTATTGGAAATAAAACGAGAATTCTAAATTAACAACATTCTATAACTAAAACACATTTATAATAAGTCTTTGAATACTTAATCATAATACAACATTAAAAATTAACATGTTTCATTTCACAGTTAACATATTTTACTTCTAAATTCACAATTTTTTGTCTTAATAACACATTTACGACAAGTTTTTAGATAAAACTTTATTACAATACAACCACAATCTTAAAAATTAACATATTTCATTTAATAATTAAACATGTTTTTCAATTCAAAATTACTAACTTTCTGTCTCCATAATATACTTATAATAAGTTTTTGAACAAAACTTTATCACAATACAATTTTAAAAATTAACACATTTTATTTTGTAGTTAACATGTTTTAATTCTAAATTAATAATTTTCTGTCAAAATAAAACTATCAAAAGTAAAGGAGAAAGATTTAACATAAAAACTAACTCACTATTACCTCCTTGATCGATTTTCTAACTTTTTAACGATAGACGTCAAGTTTCTCCCATTCAAAACTCTTACACAATGCAGGAATTATAGAAAATTCCCAGTTCTCAATGTTTCTAATAAAAGTGGCATTAGAGTCAGTTGATAAAATTTTAAAATTCTTCTTGAGGCCATACAACCTTATTAATTAGGGTTTTGACAAATTCAATGATTTCAATAAGAATTTTTCTTATTTAAGTGTTTTTTTAAGTGACTATTCCTATTTTATATCTTGTATTTTTTTTTCCTTAGTATGATTACAGATTCATTTTAACATTCTTATGTCCGTTACCCTTTTTTTTTTTTTTGTCCTCTCAGCACCCAACATATAAAACCATACTTCGTCCTATCATTTTATAGAATGTCTTCTGGAAGATATTTTTAGTTATTTTTATTAGACGCTTTGATTGTTTCACCAAGTATTAAATATTTTTTATATATACCCGTACTTAATAAGAGTAGTGAGAGAGTAAAAATTAATATGATGGAGTTTAACGCAATTAATAAGAGTAATATCAAAAATCATTAAATTTAATGCTTTGAATTTTTTTTATCAATATGTGTGAATTAGTTAGAAATGTCTTATAAAATATGGCAGAGAAAGTATAATATTAAAAGTCTAAAAAAAAACTCCTTTTTATGTTCAAGAGTTATTTTACTATTTTATTATCACTTTATCACAAATGACTTTTAGTGCGTTCGTCCCTTTTAATTATTCAACTTGTATTCTATGCATAAAAGTTCCTTCAATTTCATTGTTATTTTAAAATTTCCAATTAAATGATTGAACTTTGAAATTAATGATATGAACTGCAAGTTTTAACTTCAAATTATTCCAAACCTGACGTCTTTAGTGACCTTAACACACACACGCGCGCGGTATTAACTTTTTGCTCGTATATAATCATTTTTTATTTTGATTTTTTTTTCTTTTTCGTATGATAACACATTCATCTTAATAATTTCCTTTTCCTGGAGGTACCACTTGCGAACTACACTAAGCCTCTTTATTTATGTGAGCTCAGATCTCCTAAACCGAATTATTTTTTTGTTTGTCCATTAAACCGAATTATTTTGTTTTTGACCCATTTGTCATTAGCTCATAATCCCAACCCATGTTATTATTAAGCCCATTACTTACACAAGTGAAGTCAAACTTTTTGTGCATATTCTTATTAAGCCCATTCAGGGGGTGTTTGGCTTTTTTGCCAAACACCCCCATGTTTTTTAAAACCAAGGTTTTGGGCAAAACCAAGGTTTTGCCCAACAAAACCTCGGTTTCCAGATAAGCAGGCGGGGGTTCACAATTCAGCTCCACGGTTTCCAGATAAGGGAATAATTGGCTTCAATTATTGGCTCTCCCCAACAAAGGCTCAACGGTCAGCTCCACGGTGAAGGGAACAAGCACGCGGGGTTCCTTCAGCTCACGGTCAAGACCCATTCTTCGGCCTCTTCTCTCCCATTCCGTCGCCCCTTCTCTCACTGCTCTGAAGATCTCCCTTCTCCTGTGCCGTCGCCCCTGCTGAAGAAATCGGTTCTCCTGTGCCATCGCCTCTTCATCCCATCGGTGAGATCGTGAACCGCTGAGGAATTTCAGTGCCGACGAGGTGTTTCTCGGCCTCCGAGAAGAAGATCGCGTATTGGGTTGCCTAATCCAAGCCTTCCATTTCCGGTATCGTCGCTGGTCAGTTCATCTAAAGTCAGTTCATTCTTCCACCGTCGCCCCTTCCAAAGCTCTGGTCGCCGTGTCTTCTTCCGTCGGTCAGATCCAACTCCTTCCGGTAAGCTGTCTTCTTCCGTCGGTCATTGTGGCTGGAGATCTGGTGCATTAGAAATTCTGTGAAGCGTCAATTTTTTCCCCGAAACAGAGGTTCCGTCAGCATCGTTTTTTTCTTCCGAATCAGATGTTGGTTTCACTGGTTGCCTATGCTATGTTCACTTGTAGAGGCTGATTTTGTTTGATGGTAATCATGTGTGTGTGTATACGATGGGAAAGATCTCGGTTGTGACTGGTTGTGCTTCATGTGTGTGTATGAGAGACAGAGCATTTGGTGGGTGTTGATCAAATTTTCCGTTTGGTCGATTTTATTTCGGAGACAGGACGGTCGAATTTTTTTCTTTTGTGCTTGATGGTTGCTTTTGCAGTGTTATATGTATGGGATTTTGATCGTTGGTTGTAGCCAAATTAGGTCAGTTAACCGAAATGAATTCTCCTGGATGCTGGGAAAAAAAATAATTATTAATGTGTATGTATACCGTTGGATTATAGAACACGCCGCTATACTTGTTAAATACTATCCTGTTATATCATATCTCCTGAACTGAATGGTATGCTTTTTGGGTTAAATTTGTGATAACTGAACTGTTGTAATTGGTTTATAGCACAATGAATAAAAAAAATAGCAAAGCTTTGTGGGATATAAGAGCTACAAAGGTCTTTATTGACCTGTGTATTGAAGAAGTTGAAAAGGGGGGAAGAAGAGGAACTAGCTTGACAAAGCCTGCTTGGACAAGTATTGAGGAGAACTTTGCTGCAAAGACTGGGAGAGTTTATACAAAAATCCAATTAAAGAACAAATATGATACCTTGCGAAAGGAGTGGCAGTTATGGGATAGGCTGCTCCGTGAGACAGGTTTAGGGTGGGATGCCGAAAGGAATACTGTTAGTGCCCCTGATGATTGGTGGGAGAAGAAAATAGTGGTAATCATTTAATTTTATTTGAGCTTGTATTTTCTCCCATGTTAACGTTTTTTGTATAATGTATAATATTTTTGGTGTTGAATGCGCAGGAAGTTCCAGGCTATGAGAAATTTAGAGAAAGAGGGCTTCAATTTCGAGCTGAATTGACTCAACTCTTTGGGTCTGTAGCTGCCACTGGACCACAGTCATGGGCACCTTCTTCCATGACACTTCCAAGCGAAGGAGTTCCTGAAAATGATATGGAAGAAGGATCTGGAGATAGTGATGAAATTTTGGGGGCACCAACTGGCATAAGCGGGGAGTTTAATTCAGTCACATTCAATGACAATAGTGGAGGAAGTGGAGGCAACACTGGAATGAGACAGGAAACCATTCGTGGGGGTAGAAGCACAGGTGGCAATCGACCTAGTAGCTCATTAGGAGTTAGAAAAAAGGGTGAATCCATGAAGAAGAAATCTACTACCACTATGAAAATAGCGGATGCACTAAGCAGGATAGCTCAGGCAAATGAAAATGATTCTCAGCGTGAACATGAAGAGATTTCAGAAGCACGTGCTTATGAGACGTCAATTGCGGGAGTCATGGAGCACCTTAATGAAGTTGATGAAATTGTTGATGATCCTGATCTGTTTGGCCGGTGCACAACACTTCTTATGGATAAGCCAGCTGCAAGGGAGATGTATGTGGCTCTGAAGAACAAGAGGGAAAAACTACTGATCTTCTTGAAGCATGCAACTAAGGATTGAGACTTCATTTATGTTGCTTAGAAGATGACTGTGATAATTTGTATCTATTTTTATGTGACTTAGAAGATGACTGTGATCGTTTGTATCTATTTTTATGTATTATGTGACTACTTAATTTCTGTAGGAATTAAACAACTTATTTTCTTGTTAAATGTTAAGTAATTTCTTATCAGAGTTTCTGAATTTTATGTCTATGTGCACAGGACAAGACAAAAAATGGCTAATGAAATTAAAATTGCAGAAAAGTATCGTAAACGACGGAACAAACGGGTTAATCAAGTTGCAGTAGCGGTTGGTGGATATGCTTCTCTTCATTTGTGTAAAGAGTCCCAGCATACAAGTATTTATACAGGCAAGGCATGGGTAAGGGACGTTTTACAAGGCCATTCCAATCGTTGTTATAACATGTTTAGGATGGAAAGGGAAGTGTTCTTTAGTCTTTGCACAGAATTGCAACAACACGGTCTAAGAGAAACTAGAAATGTTGGGATACATGAAATGGTTGCAATGTTTTTAAATACCGTTGGCCATGCGCTTAGTAGTAGGATGCAGCAAGAAAGATTTCAGCATTCAGGGGAGACAATTAGTAGACATTTTCATAATGTCTTACTGGCTTGCTGTAGACTTGCTATTACCAACATCAAACCAAAAGATCCAACGTTTCAGCATTTGCATACAAAAATACGGCCCGGTGGTCGATACTGGCCCTTTTTCAAACATGCTATTGGAGCAATTGATGGAACACATATTTCATGCATTGTTGATGCAACTGAGCAAACAAAATTTATTAACCGGAAAGGAAGAGTGACGCAAAATGTAATGGCGGTTTGCGATTGGGACATGTACTTCACTTTTGTATTAGCCAGATAGGAAGGTAGTGCGCATGATGCTCGTATATTTGACCACGCCCTCACAACTCCTTCCATGAACTTTCGCCATCCGCCTCAAGGTATATTTTAAATTCCTACAATTTATTTATGCTTCACTGTCAGAAAACAAATTTTATTGACACCAATCATATATTTCATGTATGCAAATATTATTTGGTGGATGCTGGCTATCCGACACCCATGGGATACCTTGGTCCCTACAGACGTGAACGCTACCATCTTCCTGATTTCTGAAGGTCATCTGCACTTGAAAATGATAATGAGGCGTTCAATTATTTGCACTCAAGTCTACGGAACACTATCGAAAGAACTTTTAGAGTTTGGAAAAGTAAGTTTGCAATTTTAGGAAACATGCCGAGCTATGACTTTTCAACACAAGTTCAAATTGTTTGTGCAACGATGGCCATACATAACTGTTGTAATATTTTTGGTTGTGTCAAAGAAAGGATCTTACATTAATTGAGAATTGGGAAGATAAAAACAAATTGAGTAATAATTGTGAACAGATTTTCTTATTATTATTATGAATAGGAAAATCAATCAAATGTAGAAGAGTTTTAAATGGATTTCCAAGATTTAAAAGTGGCCCATTAAAATCCTTTAATGCTGAAGCATTGAAATTATTCAACGGAAATTTTCTATGATTATCCAACGCCTTGAAACGCTTGATATCCAGGTGCTTTAAACATGTTTTAATGATGGCCATGAATTTCAAAATGGAGTAACGTCTGAAATGTTTAAAGCGTTGGTGTGGTTTTATTCCTTTTAATATATTAAACAATGACTATGAAACACAAAACGGAAGTGTTATCCCTTTGCCTCCAACCGTTCACATTATGCAATTAAATCATTTAATGTGCAACATTCAAAACTGAAATTTGATTAGCTTTAAGAGGCAAGCAATATTCAGATCATGGAGGCCTATAAAAGGGTGCTCTGGTCTAAGGTTCAGAATACACAGCTCTAGAGTTTTCGAGCTCCTCTCTTCCCCTCTTGTGTGCTCTCTTACTTGCTGAGTTTACTACTATCTTCTGCTGTTCTGCTCACCCTGTTTTACAGGAAGGATCCGTTTAATCCTGGGGAGTGCCGCATCCTTATCTACGGTGGTTGCGGAATAGCTTTAAGAACAGCGTCCTTAGGACGTGACTCGGATTAACTATTTTTTGCAGGTGCTGCCGCCTACAATAACTCATTAGATCAAATCCATTTCTGATCCTGGTTTCATTGAGTTTGAACAAGAAGGTTCTTATGTAGAAGAAAATGATGATGATGGAGTTGGATCTTCACATATACCTTCATCAGTAGATTCTTCATCTCACATGGCTCGGCTTCGTAACTCTATAAGAGATCAAATTGTTCACTACATACAAGAATAGTTATGTCCTTTTTATTTTCTTTTTTCTTTTCAGATAATTTAATGTGTTGTTAAAAAAATCTACTTGAACAAATATATTTCGTTGCAACCTTTATTATTAAGACAATTAATATGAATTTTTTTTTGTGTGGTTATTTAATTTTGTGAAATAATAATATTTTCTTTAGCAAAATAAATCATTTTCCTAAAAACATATTTATTTATTTTATTAATATATACACACTAATTTCTTATTATTTATATTATTTATGCCATATTTATTATGTTGCCAAAATATATATTATTAATAAATTTATTACTTCAAATAAACATATATTATGAAATATATCTTATATGTAATTATCATTTAAACTTATGTCCTTTTTAGTAATTTCTACATATCAAAAAGCACTTCTGACAATAATTATCCAAACACTCTCACTTTATCAGAATCACTTTTCCAGAAAATCTATTCTTTCAAAATCTATTCTCTCCAGAATCTATTCTCCAGAAGCTATTCTGCAAACCATGGTTTTGCTTCATCCAAACACCCCCTCAGTAATTGAGTTGGGCTCAGAAATCAGTTGGGGCGTCGACTTTAATTGTGGGGACTCCTAAAATCGCAGCTCCCAATAATTATAAAATTGTTAATTGTTTGGAATATAAATGTTGAGAGAGATAGCTAGGGGTGGTAATACTTGCGGATTGGCCCGTGACGAATTGAGCATGTGACAGGTCGGGCTGAAAAGGCTCGTTTGAAGGCAGGTTGGCTTTTAGCCAACTCTAACCCGTCAAAGTGGATTGGTGGATTGGTCGCCAACCCGCCAACACTTACCCTTTTTTTTGAAATATTTTTTTTTTACTTTTTAGTAAATTTTTGTTTTTTCTTAAAATATTTGATTAAAAGCACCAAATAAATTATATAGGTATTCTTTTTTATTTTTTAGATAGAATATAATATATAATAATATAATCATAATAATTTAAAATTTTTAAAAAAATAAATGCAGGTTAACCCGCGAGTTGGCAGGCTAACCCACAATGAGTTGCGGGTCTGGCAATACGGGTTAAAAAGACTCGTTTACTGGTAGGTTGATTTTTGTCCAACCCTAACTTGCTATTTTTTACGGGTTGGACCTGCATATTATCAACTCTTAGCTATAGTCATAAAAAATATATATATAATTTATAATGATCATGTGAATTTATAATGATAATGTATAAGGAAGAATTGGAGTAGCACCTGTTGAAAAAAATGGTTAAAAAAAATATTTGAAGTGATTTGGACGCATGTATAAAAGGCTATTATGTGCTAGTGAAGAGACTAGATCAAACATTTTAAAATGTTATGAAAAAGGATGGAAGAAGAGAAAAAAAAAAAAAAACCCAACGAGGTTATTGAGTGAGACATCTTGCCTAATAAGTTATTTACAAATTTAATTGATGATAGAAATTCAATAGTATGTTGTTATTATATACTTAATCATATCGAGTGGAATAAAGTTTATTGCTGTTTTTTTTTTTGAGCAAAAAATTTTATTGTTGTTAATGTTTGGAAGAACACAGTAATTATGAAAATTGATCATGCATAACTTCAATTTTTTTGTTATTTTGTATGCATGTAATATTAACTAAGATTAAAACAATTATTTCTTCCACAGTCTATATCCTGTGTATATATATATATATATATAGATTTATTTTTATAAAAAATTAAAATGGAAAATCATCCTACCTTTTCAGCTTTTCTTTTCAAAATTTACAGCAGATTAATATATAGTGAAAATACGAGGAAGAAGCATAAATATTATTGATTAGGAGCATATTGAGCATATTGGGCCAACATTGCATTCTTTTAGTGAAGTTTACATTACCTTGGGCCTGTGATGAAAAGGAAAAAAAATGTAAAAATGCCAGTACCAAAACCTTTCACGAAAATTCCGAGTATCACCATCATCGAGATTCAGATGGTATTGAAACAAGATTCAATGCAATTCGAGTTCGTATCGAAAGTGAAATGGCAATCGGCGAAACAAATTTCGCATCGGCGTCGTCATCAACACTGAATTAGAACTAGGTGACATAACAGAACACTTAATGAGGCAAATCATTGAAAAACCACTTTTAATTCTTACTGAAAGTGAAACAGCACAACGCCTCCCATGACAGATCGCCCAAAGCCTAAAACAGAATTCTAATTCTTTTTCACTGAAAGGAGAATTGCAACAATTTTACAATCACCGGCGCAAACCAAAAAGAGGGAATCACTGAATTCTAAGCAAAGCAATCGAAGCGAATGACCTGTAGAACGGAGAAGAAACCAGAGAGTCCAATTCTCAGTCCATAGGTTCCCTTTTGAACAGATAGCCAAGTACTTCGAAACAGTGAAAGAGGGAATCACTGAAGGAACCACTCGGAAGGCGGAGGAGAACCAAATCCGACGATCTGCCGCCGCCTGTTCCCCCAGACGAGTTCCGATTGAAGATCGCAGCAAGAATTTCGCCTTTCACTCTGCTCCGGGAAGGGGTTGCGTCTCTGAAAGAGCCAGTCCGGCGGCGGAGGACCAGCATCTGCTCCGATTCTGGACAGCCGGCAGCGTCGACGGGCTTGTCCCAGTTGAACACATGGGCAAATATCTTCTCTTTGATTCTGCGTCGGTTGCCGGTGACGTCGCTGAATGTGCCTACAGGGTGGAGGACGATCGCATCACCGGTGGCTCTCATGGTTCCTGGGGTCGACTTGAACTCGGTGAGTAT